AATTTAATTCTTGAGTTCCTGTTATTTTTATATTAAGTAACAATTTAATTCTTGAGTTCCTGTTATTTTTATATTAAGTTTTTTCCCAAACTGGCATTTAAAAATGGGTCAGTTTTGGAATAGATTTTACGTACTGCTGGTTTTTCTAATGCTTTCAGAATTTTGTGGCTTTACTATGGTATGTTGCTGTTTATAATTTTATTTAATAACATGGATATGTAGTATAACCACATGATTTTATGTTCAGGTGTTTGTTGAAAGTTCAGAGTCTTTGGATCGCCACCTGACTTACACAGATTCTCAGTTATGGAAACTTTTGGATCGTCATGCAAATACAATAAGACTGTATGTTTCATTACCAGAACAGTCTCCTGGATCTCAGTTTAAAAGAACAGTTTACCAGAAAGCTAGTGGAGATTCAGGTAATTTGGATGAAGTTTGTGAAAAAGTAAAAGGTTCTGTAGGTAATATGAAATCTGTAGAGGCTATCCTAGAAGAAAGCACTGAAAAACTCAAAAGTTTGTCACTGCAGCAGCAGCAGGAGGGAGACAACGGAGACAGCAGCAAGAGCACAGAAGCAAGTGACTTTGAAAACATTGAGTCGCCTTTGAATGAGAGAGATTCTTCAGCATCAGCAGAACACAGAGAACTTGAAAACCAAATTCAGATTTCTGATCCAGAAAACTTCCAGTCAGAGGAGCGATCGGATTCTGATGTGAATAATGATAGGAGCACAAGTTCTGTGGACAGTGATATTCTTAGTTCTAGTCATAGCAGTGACACTTTATGTAATGTTGAAAATGCCCCCATCCCTTTGGCTAATGGACTTGATTCTCATAGTATCACAAGTAGTAGGAGATCTAAAGCAAATGAAGGAAAAAAGGACACCTGGGATACAGCTGAAGAAGATTCTGGAACTGATAGCGAATATGATGAAAGTGGCAAGAGTAGAGGAGAAGCGCAATATATGTACTTCAAGGCAGAACCCTATGCTGCAGATGAAGGTTCAGGAGAAGGACAGAAATGTAGGTATCAATTCTATTTTGTTCCACTTCATTTAACTTAATACATTTAGCTAACAAACATATATGTTCTGTTGTCAGAAAAGTATTGAAACACAAATCAACCTTTTTTGAAAATGCTTAAATATGGCAATACACATCATCATGTTCAGTTGTAATTGTGACTTGACTTTACACAAACTAAATTATTGCCAAGTGAAGTCTCTCAATGAAGAGCACAAGTACATTTCAGTTAGTTTTCACGTCCTTGAATATAATACCTGATGGGTTTTTTTGTTTTGCTGCATATTGAAAATAGGTTTTTTGGTGGAGGAGAGGACAGCTTGACCTTTTTCAGCAAAGGAAAAAAATGTTAAATCATTAACATTATTCTTTGTGCATTGTTTGTTCACAATACCACTACTCTTTCTGTTTGAGCTAAAATGTACTCTCAATAATTCTGAAACCATCTGTTGTTGTTTTGTTTTATTTTTATTTTTTTAATTTTTGTAATTGAAGCAGAACTCAAAGGCCAAGGAAACAAAATACATTTTGTTTCTGAAGCTTTTGATCTTTTGGAGCTTTAGATTATATACAGCCTCATTAGCCCAAGAACAGTAGATCAGTTTTAGGTGTGTATTTGGATCCAGGTATTTTAATGTTATCCAGGCTCTTCATATTTTGTAAAACACATGATGATATTCCTGTGTCTACTTTTTTAAAATTATGATTATCTTTTATATGCATATATCATAAAATGTGAAAGCCACAATTAAAGAAGTTTAATCATAACTAATGCGAAAATCTAAACCAGAGTTCTTTTCTCTAACATATAAATTGGGAATCTTCAAATTTATGAATAGGGACAAGTAACAGAAGTATTAATTTTAAATTGTATGAATTGTTACTTTTGAAGGAAGAATACCTATTATCTAATGCAGCAGCAAAATAATTTTGAACTATTGGAGTTATGTTTCTTTCTTGGAATAAGAAAATTGCTCTTTTTTTAATCAGAGACTGTTTACTAAACTGTTGAAAGCATCTTTCTAGTCTCATTCCATTTCACTGTATATTTTGTTACTTCCATTTTAACATTATAAACCTGCACATTCCCACTAAATAGTGTGTTGTCAGAAGTTTAATTCAGGTTGTAATTTTACACAAAGATTTAAGTTGAATTAATAACATCATTCTTTGTTTTTCCTTGTGTATAATGATAAAGTCTAGGTTCTTGCACAAGGTCAGATCCTCACATTGTTACAGGTCATGGAGTCCAGTGCTTCTGTAACAATATAGCAGCTGAGGATCAGTCCAAGAAAATAATGTTTTTATCTCTGGAAGTTAAGGGACAAATCCTGCTTCTCTTAATTATTTACCAGTTTCACTGATGTCAGTAGGAATGCTGTTTGACCATGTTGTATTTAGTCTTCCCTTCTGGCTTACGTGGAGACAGGTTTTCGATACCCCAGCAGGACTGGATCACCAGAACACCTCATTTTCCCAGACCCTCTGTACCCATTACCATGCTTTTATGGAATGATAGACCCTTCCCCAGATCCCAGCTCTTAAATGGAAGGACAAGGAGATACTTATAAGACAGAGTCCCTGGATTCAGCTCATATGAGGGAATATGGGTCAGGAGAGGGGCTCAGGCTCCCCTAGAAAAATGAGCCCTCCATATCTTGTGGAGGATCAGGTAGTAGTAGTTCAGACACCTTTTGGGGCAGAGATTTCCCAGGTCCTCCCTTGCATGAGGGATGGATGGGGAGAGGCAGTAGACTTGGTTAATCAGTCTGCTGGAGCATGGCAATTACCATACTCCAGCAACCTTCTGCGTCTCATGTATCATCATCCCTGCACTTAAAAATGGTGGCAGGGTCACTTGAACTAAAGCCCATTGAAAGAGCTTTAGTTCAGGTGCCCCCACCATCATTTTTAAGCACAGGGATGCTGATATACAAGATGCAATGGCACTTTAATTAGAGCAGCTCTCGGAGCTTTTCTTCTAGAGCGACAGGCCACCAGATCTTGGTACACTTGGTAGAGTGCAAGTGAATGACTTACTCTGTCACCTGAACTATTTTTATCCCTTTCACTTCTACAGCTGCCTTTCAGTACTGCCCAGAGCCTCCTTCCATACCCTCTTCCTTAATCTCTTTCCTTTCTCTGCAAGAATTCCCATATGTAACTTAATTTTTAAAAATTAATCTATTCATCTTCTGAACTTTCCTACAGTCCTTGGTGTTTTTCCAAAATTAAACAAATAAAACCTGATACAGGCAGATAATAGCAAAATGCCTTCCTTCCTGAATTTTCTCCCAATGTTCTGATGTACAGTGATGCTATCTAGGTGCATCTGAGGTTCTGTGCCTGCTTAATTTGAGACTGGGCAAGTATTTCAGGGTTAGATTTTGAAAGGCTTCTATTTCAAGAGTGATGAAGGCACAAAGTTGAGTACCTAAAGGACGTGAATGTTTTTTAAAACATGACCTGGTGTATGTCTAAGCTTCCTATCTGTAAAATGGAGATGATGATCTCCTTCACTGGGGTCTCAATATGCAAACATTTTAAAGGTTACTAAAGATTCTACCTCTCTCTACTATGAATTGTCAGTCACTTTAGGGGGTTACAGTAATAGCTCCTTTAAAGCATCTGCCCTGCCAAAATGCTGGGCTTGGTTGCATGCAGAGTGGGAGCAAGTGGGCTTCTTTCTTTGGTAACAGTCCTGGGTAGGCAGAAATGATAGACAAAAGCACCTAGGATAGATGAAATAGCAGTGGGGGTCTGGTTCATCATTTAGACTGCTAAGCACTGATAGTTCAAGTAACTCTTCAATAAGTACATGAATTTTTTAGCAGAGTAGGCAAAATCTGTATCCTTTGCAGCACAATGTACTGATTCACTTCTGTGGGATTTTTTTTGTCTTAGGGTTGATGGTGCATGTTGACAAAAGAATTACACTGTCTGCTTTCAAGCAACACTTGGAGCCCTTTGTTGGAGTTCCATCCTCTCACTTCAAGGTCTTTCGCGTCTATGCCAGCAATCAAGAGTTTGAGAGTGTTCGGCTGAATGAAACACTTTCATCATTTTCTGATGACAACAAGGTTATTAAACCATGGTTTTTAATAACAGTGTACACTGAGCTGTATAGATTGGGTTATGTTTTATGAATTGGCAACTTCTGCATGTAAATTGTCAGATAACATTCATGACTTCATTGAATCTTTGTTACATTGATAGTGTTATGTAGTGTTTAAAAGGAAATATCTTTTTGCCTTTAATGTTGCTTCTAACAGAACTTTTTAATTTGTAGATAACTATTAGACTTGGAAGAGCACTTAAGAAGGGGGAGTATAGAGTCAAAGTGTACCAGCTTTTGGTAAATGAAACAGAGGTGAGTTACCTTGTATATTTTTAAGTCTAAAATTTAGGCCTGAGGAAGGGCAACTGAAGGGCACGAAACCAGAAACACTAGACACTTCCTGAAATGTAGGTAAAAGCAGGGGAGATGTCGTCACTGCCAGTGCCTGGTCATTACAATGACAGAGAAGAAATTGGTTAATATATGCACAGTGTGTCCTAAGTCAAGGACTATACTTGGCTACAGAAGAAGGCACCCCCCCCCCCGCAAGTCCTTGCCAATGTGGCGTAGGGGAGGAAATTTCCTTCTTGACCTTCATTTGGTGCTCTCTCTGACCTTGAGTGGAAGATCAAGACAGTCTCTGGCTCCTGAGTTTCCTAAATACCAGCAGGAGCATGTGACGTCCATAACAGCCTTTGACAGCACTAAGTTTATCTTGAGTCAGTTTAGAAGAGGAGCCTGCTCACAAACAATTCTTAACTATTATTTTTTATATTTGTTGATTCTAGGCCCATAAATTGCAATACATGTGCCCCTTCCTTTTTATTTCTCCCCCATTTCTCCCTCTCCCTCCCCCCAAATTAACTCTAATTCTGATCCATTCTTATTTATGTTCGCAGCCATGCAAGTTTCTTTTAGATGCTGTTTTCGCTAAAGGAATGTCTGTTCGGCAGTCAAAAGAGGAACTACTCCCTCAGCTCAGAGAGCAGTGTGGGTTAGATCTAACCATTGACAGGTAAAGGACAGTGAAATCAAGGCTGAAATTGTTGTGTTAAAGGCAGCTTTTAAAAAGTACTTTATTTTGTAGGTCTCAGAAGCCAAGGGGATCTGCTACAAATATTGAAACCCTTCCCTCAGAAACCCTTTCTGTCAGAAAATGTTAATATAATCAACAAACTAATTTAGGATTTTTTGGAACAGCAGTAAGTTGTGTTTATAGCCAAACTGAATATCAGAGATTAGACTGTGATAAGTTTCTGCCAGGATTGGTGTTTATAAGGAAATACCTTTGTTTGCAGTGCCTTATTTCCAGAGGATATTGGATCACATCTGATTTGCAGTTCAGTTTTGGTACCCTCCTATTGCCTGGAAATGTTATTTGTTCTAAGAAACAGTACTTCTTGAAAAAGAAAAAATGCACTGTAAAGACCATTGCTGCTTACAGAAATGAAAAAAAAACCTAGCGTTTTACTTTCAGCTTGATGCATCCTGCGCCGATTTCAGCACATGCCCAAAAGAGGTATTGCTTTAGTTTGATCTGGCTTGCCCAGTGTCTATGTAGATCACGCGCTTACTTCACTGGGTCTTTTTGGCACTTTTATCTAATAGCGGATGGAGTCAGCTATTAGATAAAAGTGCCAAAAAGCCCTGCTGAAGCACCCAATCTATATAAAGGTTGGGGAGCTGGATCAAACTAATGTGCTTCCTCTTCTGGTAAAGTGCTGGAGTCTTGTTTTTTGTTTTGTTTTGTTGGGGTTTTGGGGGGGGGGCCTTGGTTTTTTTTTTTTTTCATGCCTGTCAGCAGCCCATGACTTTGAGTCTCTCTGAGATGCATCTCCAGAACATTTTAGTGGATCATGTCCTCTGGGATTGCTCTGAAACATTCTTTCCTTAATTTTCCATGTACTTTTTAGTCTCCTTTCTCAGGGCAAGATGGGACTAGACCAGTGGTGCCCAACCTTGTGCCTCTGAGGGTCAGAAGAGTGGCATGGGGTGGGTCTGTGGGCTGGATCTGGCCCTGTCCATCCCCAGTCTGACTTGTGCACCACCCATTGTGGTCTGCCAGCCAGATCTGGTATGCAAGGCCATGTTATCCAGCCAGTGGGGCTCCCCATGTGTCTGGAAATTCAGCAGCAAGGAAGTGGCAATTAACACTATAACTGTTCCTCTGCTGCCAAATTTCCAGGCCCTTTGGGAGCTCTGTGGGCTGGATGACAGCACTGCACAGGCTGAATCTTCCCCACAGGCCAGCAAGCTTGTGGCCAGCAAGTCAGGTTCCCTCTAAGGTATGCACATGTGCGGCTGTGCACAACTAAAAGTGCAGCCACACGCAGCCTTTTCAAGGCTGCGCACCAGGAGAGGCTTGAGCTGGAGCCTGGTGTGGGCTCCGAGGAAGTGCTCTGCTCCCCCGCATCAGGGCCGGGGAGTGGAGCCCTTCCCTGGGGCCGGCAGAGCCCACACCAGCTGCCTGGGCCAGCCTCCATCCCTGCCTTGCCTCACCTCGGGGAGGAGCCACTGCCTGCCTCGAGTGAAGCTCCACTGGCATGGCCTCTGGGGGCATGTCCCACACTGTCCCTGAGCCAGAAGAGACTCACTGGGGCAGGCAGCGGCTCCTCCCTGAGGTGAGGCAAGGCAGGGATGGAGGCTGGCACTGTCGGCTGGCTCGGGCTTTGCCAGCTCCAGGGAAGTGCTCCACTCCCCGGCCCTGATGCGAGGGATCGAAGCACTTCCCTGGAGCCAGTGGAGCCCGTGCCAGGCTCTGGCCACCGGCCCCAGTCCTTCGCCCCTGGCTACAGCCACCGGCCCCCGGCTCCAGCTTCCAGTGACCAGTCCCTGGCGTCCAGCCCCTGGCTCCTGCCTCCAGCCACTGGCCCCTAGCTCTGGCCCCCAGCTCCAGCCTCTGGCCCCGGCCTCCAGCCCTCAGCCCCCTTCGGTAAGTGTCCCACGCCGGACCGAGACAGTGCACTCATGGACCAAGGCAGCTGCTCATTAGAGGGAACATTGCATGCAGTAGTCAGATAGCTAGAGGAAGCGCTAGAGCAGCAGTTCTGAACCAAGGGTATATGTACCTCCAGGGACTATGTAAAGTCTCATGAGGGGGTACGTGAGATATATTTCGTACATTGTCTAACGCAGGTTGAAAGGCCTAAAAAATTAATTTCCCATTGAAAGGGGGTACATGAAGTCTCACTCTGGGACCAAAGGGTACGTTGACTGAAAAAGGTTCAGAACCGCTGCCCTAGAGGATGAATTTTGCATGTTGCAGAGGAAAATTCTTAAAACCCCTGGATGAAGAGAATCCTCTGCTTCTTAACATATTGTTCTAATAGACTTTTAATATTGTTAAGTGAAAGGTTCATTTCTACATGCAGGCCTCTGAAGTGAGTGGTGGTATCTCTTTTAAATAAAGTCTTCAGACCTTGAATTTTAATAGCCAAAATAAGTACTGTCTATTAATAAAAAAACTAATATTTTCTTAAATATGTTTGTCTGTAGGTTTCGCTTACGAAAGAAAACCTGGAAGAACCCAGGCACTGTATTCCTCGATTATCATATTTATGAAGAAGATATTAATATTTCAAGCAACTGGGAGGTTTTCCTAGAAATACTTGATGGTAATAACACAAATACATTTTTTGGAGTTAAAATACACAGTTGAAATGAATCAAAATTAATTCTACCTTCAGGTTGTACTAGGACACCTTTGAATTTGTTGTTATTTTCCATGTATAGAATCTAATTTGCAGGGGGGATTATCTGAAATGAATGTCCCTATCCCCCTCCCTGCAACTGCTGTGTTAGAGAAAGCAGCAGTGCAGGGGTGAGGCACCAGACCCCTGACCCTTGCTCATCTATCCCCTACTATGTGCCCTTCTGCCACATGCGTGTGTCTGCCCTGCAGCACCCTGCCTACTCGCTCCGTCCTGCTCCCTCCCTGCTCTTCTCCTTCAGCTTGTCAGGATTTGAGGGGGGGGAGTAGGGTACCTCACCGGCTGCTCTCTTCTGTCCTCCTCCCCCCCCCGCTTAGCTTTTGCTGCCACTCTACTCCAAGTCATGGCACTCGGCAGTAGCTGTGGCATAGCCCACCCTCGCCAAGGGAAAGCAGCAGCAACTCCCAGCTGGGCCAGGTTGGGGCTGGAGGAACCAGAGCTGGAACAGAAAGTAAGTGAGGAAGGGCCCTCATTTTTAGATTCAAGTAAATACAGTAAAGAAGTTCTTGCTATTTTTATTCTTAATTCACAGAATCCTTCAATATAATAGCACTTTCTTTGCTGAATGTGTTACTTTCATTGTAGCGTACATTTTATACTTGTTAGAAGATGGGTAAAACAGCACCTTTAAACTACAAAATAATTTGTGTATTTTGAAGCTGAGGCATCAACTTTGTGCTTCATGTGGCTTTGCAAATGGACAAGAAAACTTGAAAGCCCAGACAACATCTGTTTGCCCATCTAGTCCATGATAATTAACAAGAATAATCATATGTGACTTGTCCAAAGGCAGCAGATGGGTAGACTTCTGTAAGACGGGGGGCAATGAGTTTTGCTTCCTCAATCATAATGAGAACTGCAAAACGGAAGAAACATAGTTTGCCTTTTTGTAGATTTCTGTGAAGCTGTCTCATACCTGTGCATTTCTCTGATCCTGTTTTTGGAAGCTCAACAAGTTTTTGGGCAGTTCCTGTGCAAACTTATGTCCGTGTCTGAGATGCACGTAGTTACAGTGTCATCCTCACTGTCATTGTGGCTATGCCCAAAGTTTTAGAATTGGTTCCAAGTGGTTACTTTGAGTTGAATATTTTTTCTTCTAATTGATGTTTCATTAGGTTTGTTTTCAGTCAGGGAGCAAACATTTTTTTTGGATCTAGCTAATTTTACTAGGGGTGCACTGATAGATTTTTTGGGCCAATACCAGTGGCTGATTATTAACAAGCCATATTGGCCGATACTGATCCAACTGCTGATATGCAGCCTGGCATCTAGGAGAGCAGCATCCAGTTGGTAAGTCAGTTGGGGGGGAAGGGGCAGGGTTGAGGGAATGGGTGGGTGGGGGGCAGATTGAGGCCCCTGCGGTGAGGGAGAGTGGTACTGGGGCTGGGGCAGGGGCAGGCACTGCCTAGCTAGGGCAGGAAACTGAGTCATGAGTGACTCAGCTGGGAGGCATTTGGGCGGGGGTCCTGCTGTGCATGTCTGGAGGAAGGCATGGGGGCATGTACCCCCAGGATCTGCATGCAGGGTGGGGGGTGGTGCTGGCAGCTCCGGGCTCGGGGAGGGCTGGGCCAGGACTGCTCTGCGGGGGGCTACAGGGGTTTGGTAGCCCCCCTCCCAGCACCACCACTGCCTGGCCCGAGCACAGCTCCGGCCCAGCCCCGCTGCCAGGAAGAGTCTGGCACTGCCCCTGGCCCCAGCATGCAGCAGGCAGCCTGCGCTAACTCCACACACCAATCCTGGTGGCATGCACAGCAGCAGGAACTACCCCCCACCCCACAAACAAGCCACTCATGTCTCAGTCCCCTGTCTTGGCAGGGCAGTGCCTGCCCCAGCCCCACTCCCTCCCTCACTGTAGAGGCCTTGGTCTGTCCCGCCCTCCCCACCCAACAGACTTACCAGCAAGATGCTGCTCTCCAAGCTGCCAGGCTGGCCACGTGCATGCTGTGATTGCATGCATACACATGGCGTTTTTTGCCCACATCAGCGAAAAAAGCCAATTGCCAATAATGTCAATTTTCTTTGTATCGGTTCAAATACAATATGGACCGATATATTGGTGCACCTCTACTTTTTACAGTTTCCAACTGAAAGATAAAAATGCCTTTTCTCCATCAAAAAGTCAAAACTTTTAAACATGTTTCTTTTCCCCTTCTTTTCCCCATTTTTCATAAACATACTTTGAAAAGGATAGAAGAGGAGCCCACTGGTGAGCAGTAGACACTTAGCATGGGGGACACTGAGGGTGACTACTCACTGAATTGGACAGAACAGAGACTTTTAACCTGTGTCTCCCATGTTGCAGACAAGTGCCTTAGTTTGTCAATTATTCCGGGGTTAATGTTTCTAATTTGTACTAGAAACTTCCTTTCTTGGCTTGAGAAATCATTCCTGAAGAAAACTGTATCAAACGGGATTTGTGCCCATGAAGTATTGTTATTTTTCAGCAAATCTTTTGTGGAAAAAGTACCCAACTTATTTTAGCGTTAAGTATGCCAGTGCAATCTAAATATTATTTCTTTATGTGAGCTTTTATTTTTGGTCTGACAATGTTTGTTTATTTTGATTAGCCCATTGCTTTGAGTTTAGGGCTTGGAAACCAAATTAAAGGAATTTTTTTTTTTTTTAGTGAACTATCTCTTGGACTGATGGTCAGAATACCCGTGCCTCATCCACATGGTCCAGTTTCTAGCCACAGCCTTTGTGTTTGACCATTAGAGATCACTTAAGCTCTGTGCATCTGCTCAGCCTCTGTAAAATGTGTGATAATTTATTACTTGCTGGCTGAGGCAGCTATATACTCTGTTCAGTATAACAGAGAAGTCTGTAAAGTTGTATTCAGTGAAAAAAAGTATATGGTATACTGTGAATGAAACAGTCCCCAACACACTGATTGTGGGGCAGGGGGAGAAGCAACATTAACAGCTGCATCTGTCCACTGTCCATCCAGAGCAATGAATAAGGCCAGAACCCTATAAAAAATAAAAAAAAAAAAAAAAAGGTAAATCTTTGTCATAAAGCATGCACACACAGGGCAGCAAAATAAAGATTATGCTGGCAGTGTTAGTTTTGCTTGTTGTATTGTCTGTATAACAAGAGAGCTTTTGCTGGAATAACTTATTACATCAATCCATACTAACCAGCTCATGAGAATGCCACGTTGTAGCCTGCTGGACTGCATGTAGACTCATCCACTCTCAGTCCAGGGTTAACAAACTTAAACTACTCGGATTTGAAATATACAATTCTTTCCTTCACAGATTTGCCTGAAGAGACTAAGTGAGATCAGTCTGTCCTGGTTTGAGAGCATTTTTCATTTTACTGGTGATTCATGGCACCTTTTTTGGTAATATTTAGTACGACTTTTCTGGATCTCTCCCAAAGGTTAGCTTCTTCCTATACACCTGTGCCCCAGGCTACAGCTAAAGACTCCTGCTTTGTTTCAGGAAAATAAAGCAGTCAATTTCAAGTCTGGTATCACACTTGATTACATTTTGACAAGTTAAAAGATGTCATCACTTGGCTGGCAGATATGTTTGAATTAATGAGGATACTCTTCACTGCCTCTTCAACTTGGTGTGGTTAACTGTGGGACTTACCGTAATTCTTTCTTTTTTGCAGGAGCAGAAAAAATGAAATCCATGTCACAGCTTGCTGTTTTGTCAAGACGATGGAGACCATCTGAGATGAAGCTGGATTCTTTCCAGGAAGTAGTGCTGGAAAGCAGCAGTGTTGATGAATTAAAAGAGAAGGTGAATTGATATTATACAGTATATCGCTTAGTGTTTTTGAAGCTTTATTGTGTTAGATCAACTTTTGCAATATCACTTCCTTCTAATGGTGTATTTCAGATATCTTTAGAACTGAATCCTTAGTGTTCAGTGGTAGATTTTTTTCTTTCTTTCTGGAACTGACACACTGATGCCCCACCATCACCAAACTGCGTGCAAATATCCTGTTTTGATAGAAGTTGGGGTCAGAAGGGACCTCAGTAGGTTGAGTCCAACCCCCTGCCCTGGGCAGGAAAGAGTGCTGGGGTCAGATGACCCCAGCTAGGTGCTTGTCTAGTCGTCTCTTGAAGACCCCCAGGGCAGGGGAGAGCACCACTGCCCTTGGAACCTCATTCCAGATTCTGGCAATCCTAACTGTGACGGAGTTCTTTCTAATGTCCAACCTAAATCTGCTCTCTGTCAATTTGTGGCCATTGCTCCTAGTTACTTCAGGGGGTGCCCTAGTAAATAGAGCATCTCCTATTCCCTGCTGCCCTCCCCTGATGAATTTATAGGCAGCCACAAGATCACCTCTCAGCCTTCTCTTGCAGAGGCTGAAGAGATCCAGGTCCCTCAGTCTCTACTCGTAGCGCCTTGCCTGCAGGCCTCTGACCATACGAGTGGCCCTCCTTTGAACCCTCTCAAGATTCTCCACGTTCCTCTTGAAGTGTGGCGCCCAAAACTGGATGCAGTACTCCAACTGCGGCCTGACCAATGCCACATAGAGGGGAAGCATCGCCTCAGTGAACCTGTTCGTCATGCATCTGCTAATGCATGATAAAGTGCAGTTAGCTTTGTTGATCACTTCAGCACATTGACAACTCATGTTCATCATGGAGTCAACTATAACTCCAAGATCCCTTTCTGCAGCTGTGCTGCTGAGAAGGTCATGTCCCAGCCTGTAAGTGTGGTTCTTTTTGCCCAGGTGCATAACTTGGCCTTGTTGAACTGCATCCTGTTTTGTTGTGCCGACTTTTCCAACATGACCAGATCTACCTGGATATGTTCCCTGCCCTCTGGTGCATTAACTTTGCCCCATAATTTGGTATTATCTGCAAACTTGGACCGGGTGCTCTCCACACCCTTATCCAAGTTACTGATGAAGACGTTGAGTAGCACCGGTCCAAAGACTGAGCCTTGCGGGACTCCACTGCCCACATCTTTCCAGGTCAATACCGACCCTTCCACCACCACTTTCTGGGTGCAACCCCTAAGCCAGTTTGCCACCCACCTGACCATGCAATCATCTACATTACAGCCTGTCAGTTTGTTTATGAGAACAGAATGAGATACTGTATCGAAGACCTTCTTAAAGTCTGATCTGGTCTTAAAAAGAAACAAGGTTAGTCAGGCAGGATCTACCTGCAGTGAATCCATGCTGATTTCCTTTCAGCATTATTTCTCCTGCTGGGCTCCCACAAATGTGATACTTAATGATTTTTCCAAAGTTTTCCTGGGGATAGAGGTGAGACTAACTGGCTTATAGTTTCCCAGTTCCTGCCTCCTCCCCTTCTTGAAAATAGGGACCACACTGGCCCTTTTCAAGTCCTCTGGGACCTGACCAGAGCACCAGGAGTGCCAGAAGCTCTGCTATGATACTGGCCAATTCCTTCAGCACCCTTGGATGAACTTCATTCAGCCCACTGATCTGAACACATCCAGCCCCTCCAAGTGCCCCTTCACTAAGTCTGCACTAACAGTTGGTGGGCTGATATCCCTCCTGTGTCTGTCTGTAATCTAGTTATAAGATTTGTCTTGGTCGGTGTCTAGGAATACAGATGCAAAGAACTCATTGAAGAGCTCAGCTTTGTCCCCCCATCTCTGTCACCAGTTGCCCTAGTTTGTCATGTAAGGGTCCTATGCTACCTTGCGCCTTCTTTTTGTTCCGTATATACCTGAAGAAGGACTTTTTGTTGTTCTTAAATTTTGTCGCCAGCCTAAGTTCTAATCCTTAAGTAAGTTTTGCTTCTTAGCTTCTTAATATGCCTATTAAGAAAGCCTGGCCAAATGTCAAAGCAGTGTAAAATAACACTGTATAAGTTCAATTTTATTTCTTCATGTCTTTGTTTCCTTCAAGCAAGTAACCTATGAAAGCAAGCAAAAAGCCTATGGGTCCCACATAATGTTTAAGTCATACCTTTTTTTTTTCTTTTTCAAACCAGTGAAGGAAATAAATATCTTGAAGGATTGTTGCTGAAGGACTCTTCTGGCAGGAGGAGATCCAAGCTCTTTAGATCATCTTACTGATTTTGGATGATACCTTTAAAGTTTCACCTGGTGCTTAACTGAACTCTGGCACAACTAATAACATTCATTTTAGTATGGCTGCAAAAAAGTCATACTATCATGCAGGCAGACAGCCACTCTGCAGCACAGTGTGCGAGTGGTCTTGATATATATCTCCTGCAGAGTACATTGCAGTTATCCAGTTTGCAGCTGCATTTCAGCTGTTAATAAAAATTATTACAAGTGCCTAGTCACTAAAAAGGTCATCTTGGGTATGAAGAAATCTTAGTGTTAAGGCTGCAGAGAAACTCCTGTCTGATCTTTTAAACGTTCCATACTTAAAAGTGGAGATTTCTCAAGACAGAACCTGGGTAAATACTATATGGTTGCCTGCTTAAGTATGATAGGCAGTCATAAGTGCGTAGTATCTACATGCTGGCTTCCTGCATGCTTCCAGGCACAGGTCAAGTTAGAGCTGACCATGAGTCCTTGAATGGAAATGGATCCTGGCATCTTCAAAACCATTCCAACTTACTCCCAGTCACAACAGTTATGGTTACTGTTTGTCTTCAGTGTCCATCTCCAAGGAGCAGTGGGCAGCATGCTCCTTGAGGGCTCTGTCCCATCTGAACCTCCTCCCATCTACATTATTCAGAAGCTTGAATTTACCATGTAACATGTTTGAGGCCTGCCTGCAGTCAGCCTTCTTGTGCAAGAGCTTACTGGTAGACTGGGGATGATATAATATCATTCATGTTTTTGTCAGTCCTGTTTTTTGTATTTAATGTGGTGAGAGCCAACTTCTCTAGCTAAATATTAAATACCAGGCAAATGGGCTTTCCATCTTGAACCTTGCATAGCAGTAATTGTTTATGTTTTAAATCTTTTCTATCATTTCTTCTGTGTTGGATGATTATGATCCAATGCGGTGGTGCCCAAATTTTTGATCCTGGAGGGCAGATTAGTAGTGTGAGATCAGTCCATGGGCTGGGGCTCAATTAGGCAGCCAGAGCTGCAGACACAATCTGGTGCAGGGCCTGATCTGGTATGTGGGGTTGGCCTGACACGTGACCCCAGCCTCAGGTGCCAGATTGGGCTCTTCCGGATCAGGCCCTACACTAGGTCACACCCACAGCCCGGCTCCACATACAGAGCCATATTATCTGACCTGTAGGGCTTGGAAATTTGGGGACAGTGGAGTGGTGGCAGTGTTAATTGACACCATCCCCTGCCACCATGGGCCAGACATTGAGCATCACTTATGCAATGCAGTCACCAGCACATGGCCTGCAGGCCAGATTCAGCCCACTGAGCCATTAGAGACATCCTGCAGAGCTGTAGGGCTTTGCCTATGTCCTCACAAGCTGAACAGTGAGGAGCTGTGCCCACACCACTGTTGCTTCTCTCCATCCTGTTCCATTTCCTTTTCAAGGTTGCAGTTTGAGTGCAGCTTCCAGCCAGAAGGGAGCTGCGCTGGTGTTGGGCTAGGTAGTGGCAGGGAGAGGGTCAGGAGAAGTGGTAATAGTGTAGAAGCAGCTTCCTGGCACTGGCGCAACTCTCTTCTGGGTGGAAGCTGGGCTTGCACTGTAACCAGGGAGTACAGGGGGTTGGAAGTAGCTGAGGGGGCATGGGTGCAGGCCAGTTGCATGGCTCCAGCAGGGGCAAAGGGGAAGCCTGCCATGCCCCTCCCTCCTTCCCTGCCACTCATGTGCTGCCAAAGACACCCAGCCTACCTTGAACTGGAGCTAGGTTGTTTCAGCCCCATGGCTTGAAAAAGGCTGCCAGCCCCTGGTCAAGTAGAAGACACCTGTGACTGCTGTGGTGTATATTAGTTTAGTTGCACTGAGCATAATCTATTTTCTAGGGTTATCTCCTGCTTAAAGAAAAATTGTTACATGTAAGCTGTTGATATAGCGAGATAATGTACCTTCTGAAGTGCTGAATCCTTTTTTCTTTTTTTATCATTGATATCTTCTGAGTTTCTTTGTGGGCTTTAAAATTTGACAGAAACCTACTGATATTTGTGTGTTCCAAATTCCTGACACATTTATGTGAAAAAAAAAAGGCTCACTTTTATTTTTCTGAAATAACTGATATATTCAAAATTTGTTTTACAGCTTAGTGAAATAAGTGGCATACCCTTAGAAAACATAGAATTTGCAAAGGTAAGTAGATTTATCTGAATTGCATGTAATGACTTGGAGTCCATTTATGGTTAAGCTGTTAGAGCAATTTATTCACTCAAAATTGTTTCTTTTCAGGGTAGAGGAACATTTCCTTGTGACATTTCAGTACTAGAGATCCACCAGGACCTGGACTGGAATCCTAAAGTATCTACACTGAATGTCTGGCCTCTCTACATTTGTGATGATGGCGCAGTAATATTTTATAGGTATGTGCTTTACTGTAGTGTAATCCTCCAAATACTCAACATATGAAATAAGGATTGGGAGGTGGTAGAGCAAAAACAAACACCTGAAAATCAAGGTGACAAGTCTGTCACCATTCTCTTTAAATAGTCAGCCATCAGATACTTGAAGATTTGTTATTAAATCAACGCTCAGTCTCTTCTTCTCCAAACTAAGTAATCCCAGTTCTTCCAACCCAGGTGTAAAGAAGGTGAAGTGTAGCATACTGAACCTGAGAAGGAGCCTGGTGGGATTTATGGTCCAGTGGAGTGGCTGGCACAGTTATCAGCTGCTGTTGTGCAAAGTAAAGAGCAGGGAAGAGCAGTAGAGCTGTTTGGGAAGAAGCTGTGTTGCTGGGCAGGGGTGAAGGTGAGGTTGGAGCAAAAAGAGTTGAGGTCTGTGGCTAGAGTATGAAGACTATCAAAAAAAATGGACTTAGCATTAATGTCAGCTGTCTGGGACACTCTTGTCCAGCTGTTGGCAGCAGCTTCCTACCAAAATTAAAATGTTCCTATAAATAAATATTTAAGCTCTTTTCCCCTTTGACATCTGTACATTTCTTGATTCAAAACCTAGATACCCCGTGGTAAAATCTATTCTCTCTTTCCCTTTTCATTTGTTATTTTGATATTTCCTGCCGTCAATAGTTTAGCAAAAGTTGCAAAAATCTAGTTGCTCTTACTGTGGTTCAGTTTCTTGTTTTCTTATATAGTACTATCTAGTTTTTACATATGATACTGAATATATCAGGACAAGTCTCTGAAACTGCAACAAAATAGATTTAAGATGGAGAAAAGTATTAAAGAATTTAGAGGAAAAAATTGACATTTGTATTGAACTTTTAGTACGTTTGTGTTTGTTTACCATGGTGTCACTTTACAGAAAGCTGGCAATCTCTCTCTTGTTATGGATGGAGAGACCTTACTTGAAACTGTGTAACATCTGAATAATGTGTAATATTTTTTTAAGGGATAAAACTGAAGAATTAATGGAATTGACAGATGAGCAGAGAAATGAACTAATGAAAAAAGAAAGCAGCAGACTCCAGAAAACTGGACACCGTGTAACCTACTCCCCTCGTAAAGAAAAAGCACTAAAAATTTATCTGGACGGAGCACCAAATAAAGATTTGACTCAAGACTGACATTTGCTATAGAGCATGTTCCCCGGGGAATTTTTTTTTGTTTTAAATAAAAAAAGGTTCACTACTACTGTGTAGTGCCATTATGGCAGGACACTCATTAGGTGTAAAACAATGACACCAGCACTGATTGGGCTGCGGTTTACCGATCAGAAGCTCAGTGCCCAGTTGGGTCACTGTTTGACTTGGAATCATGTTGTGCACTATAGTCAAATGTACTGTAAAGCTAAAAGGGATGTGCAAATAAAAGAACAGAAAAACGTGGGGCGGGGGAGGGAAATAAGTGGAAATTATTACGGACAGTGTGCACATAATAGCTAGTAAAACTAGCCTCCAACAGGATACTCATAGCTTAATAATAAAAGCTGTGCAAAGGCCATGAATGAATTCTTTTTCTGTTTGTTTCACTGATACACACATTACCTCATTGAAGATTCGGAAGCAAATGTAACACATTGGCTCTTAGAAAACAATAAAAATGCGGTCAGGATGTCATGGAATTCTCAGAACCCAGCTCTAAAAGTGTATGGTTTTAGAAGAATCCTTAGAATATTCTTCCACAAGAGAGAGATCTTTAGAAAGTTACTAGCCAGTGTTGGCTTATTCTGCTGAAGTATTGTAAGGTAACTGTGTTTTAATAGGTTATGGAAGCTGAAGAGCAATTTTATTATATTGCGTTTAATGTGTAAATGAAATCTACCCTATCCAGTTAATGGAACTGCAGTTCAGCTATTTACTGTGGTATTTCTTTTCACATATCAACATCCATTGTGTACATTTGAAAGTATAGCTGCCTATTTAAATTTGTATTCATTTTATGTTTGGCAATGCTGGGTACTTTAGGCTTGTATTTCCCCTTGTTAATGAGTTTTTTGTTCAGCTAGTTATTTTTGTACATCTTGTTTTTGAAGACTTCATTATAAGTTTGCATCTTCTAGTCCCATTGCAAGCCACACTTTAATTTTTCCTGGAGTTGATTCATAGTTGTGTGTAGTTTAAACCTATTTGGGCAACTTCTAACCTCACAGTATAAACTTGCTGGTAGTTCAGATTGTGGTGCAAAGGCTGATACAGTCAACATGATTTCATTGCAAAGCTGAGGAACAGCAAGTTTTTGCTTTGCTACATAAAGATCAGTTGAGAACAATTCTACATAGTTTTTGGAAATACCATCTAATTTATAACAATCAAAAAGTTTTGGTAAATTTTTTCATGCCAGATGCTGTTTACAACAATGAACATGCCAATAAAACATTTGTTCATTTGGTTGTGTTATTTTAATCATTAATCTTCTGTGGATTTTTTTTCACTTTAAAAAAAAAAAAAGTTGTTTCATGTAAATATAGACTTCCTGGAGGCAGTCTTTCTGAGTTTCAAGATGTTTATATGTACATAGTAGCGAGGAAGATGCTCTCTAGAGAGCATGCTCAGCTAACTTGTTTATATACACAAGGGCTAATTAGTTTCCAGTTTCCTTTTTAGGAATGTAAAGTGTTAGACTGTGACTGAATACTGTAGACAGCTCAAGCTTGTCACTGGAGTGTGGAGTTTGGATATTCCTTTCTACCTACAGTGCCAAGTGAGCTTTACCCAAAATATCTGAAATATGAAGTGCTTAGTTCCCAGATCTGTCACTAAGCAGACAGAAAACTGAAGAATTGCAGCAGCTTGAGAATCCAGCCTGCACGTGGGGTATTCCTGGGTGCGGTGGAGTCTCAGTAATGGCTCTCAACAATCCCTAATGCTTTATAGACACTGACTATGCAGAACTTAGATTTAAGACTCTTGTAATATTGGCATTTAGTGCAAGGAAAAAAGTGGATGTTATTTTCCTAAAGTTTACCTTAACCATTCTTTTCAGCTAGCATCTTCTCTGTTCCATCTTCCAGGTTTTGAGGCATTAGGAAACATTACTTGAAAAACATTCTTTAATGCAACTAAGGAGGAAGTCTCTATGGAATATGTAGTAAGGCTTTGTTGCTGCCCAAGAGTAGAGATTTTTAATACTCTATTTTACTGAAGTAGAGTTAGCAACAGGCTCACCATTAAAACAAAATAGAGAAGTAAAGTCTGGTTAAATGTGTGGCTTGTGAACAGTGATAGGTCTGTTTCTAAGAGAGGAAACTGCTACTCCAAACAACCTCAAAAACTATTCACTCATCTCCGAGATTTTGATGAGCATATGTGTATAAATTATTTAGTAATGAGATAAGGGAAACGATTGGGAATTCCAGGGTGTTAATTGAGGTAACCATGCAAAAGTGCAGAAGTGATGGTGGAATGGGGTTTTGTTTTCTTTTTCCTGAGGCTGTTCCTAATTAGTATCTGTATTAATCTTGGCAACTAAGAAAATGTAGTTGAAACCATTGCTGAGGTCAAAAGGAGGGAAAGACTGCAGGAGGCTACAAGGGGTTTTGAATGACCGTTCTGATCCTCATCCATCCATCAGGTTTGGGATTTGTTGTGCAATAGTCCAGTGTCAAACTTGTGGGTTGAGATGCATAAGTGAAAGCTGGTTGAAAAGATGAAAATTGAGTCTGGTGCTTGTCACAACGTCGTCTAACTGTGGGTGGTAATTTCTTTGCCCCTCACCCCAGAATCACTCTAGTAGCAGAAGAGGTAAAGGCATGTAGAAACTTGCCTGGTTATTGGCAAGTCAGAATGTGTGTTCCTTGTGATCTTTGGTCCAGTGGACCAGACTGTAGACAGGCCTAGATTCTCTTTTCCCCGTGCCACCCACTAGCTTGTGTACAGAAAGTGACTTCCTTAAACAAGTGCCTGTCTGTAAAAGGGAGAGGATGATACCTAAGTGTGTTGAGATTTGTATGGATGAAAAACACTACAAGAGCAAGCAGTATTCCCTGACACAGGTTTGGCTGGAAGTGGCTAGAACTGAGATCCTTTAAAAGGTGCTGCAGGGTGCTGCCCAGTATTAATAAAATTAGGTGTGCAAATGCCTACATGTGATTCACCAACTCGAGATGGCAAAGTGTTAAAACATTCCAACCCGCTGGGGGCTTTCTGAGTTGTTTGCTGCAGAAGAATTTCTCTAGTGTTTGTAGTTTTTAAAAGTGACAGCTAAAAGTTGGCACTTTTTGAGGAGCGTTTTGAGTCTAAGAAGGTTGAAACCCAGAGGACTAGTCACCTAAGGGTGCCCCACCTCTGCAGGTCAGCTGTAATACTTCATACAGGTTCCAGATGCAGTACCCTATAACATGAACCAGTCAGCTCCCACATTCAGTACTCCTTTATGTGGGATGGTTCTCAAGAAGGCAAGGGGGAAGTTGGGATTCAAATTTGAACTTGGACTGCCACTTGCCTGTTGCATTCCACAACTGAGTTGTTTGAAATAAGCAGTAAATGTGTTCGGGGAAGCCCTTCCCACCCTCACAGCTATAAACAACCACACAGAAGCTGTTTTTATTGCAACTTCACTGTGATTATATATTATTAAATGAAACACACTGTACATGGCTGAAAACCAAATGCCCAAAAAACAATAGACTGATAACAGATTCCTGTTCACCCCAGAATAATAAATCCATTCCAAACATGTACAGAAAAAGACAAAACTTTCACTTCAGGGTCACCAATAATTTAAAGTATATTATGCATGGAAATCACTGTTATGCTCCCTTTTCTGTACTGAGTATGAAAACTAATACATTTATTTTGGCATACTTAAGAAAAGTAACTAATCCAAATAATGTTGGTATGTGCCCTACACTCAACACTTATCACAAAATTTGGTCCAAAGTCGTGATTGAATTCAACAAAAATCTGAATATGCAACATTGGGGGACTGAATAGGAAGATACCCCTTCAAAATCTATTGCACTTCTATCCAACAGTGTGTGCACACGTGTTCAGAGCTCATACAAGCAAGACACTAGACACAAAATAAGGTTCTAGAAGTACTCAGTGACAGATCTGCTTTGTTTTGATCATTTTAGATCTCATCCCCCAAAAGCAAGTCATGAGCCAAGTCTGGCTCCTTTATATCTGTCTGTTCAGAAACATTTTCTTCCAGGCTTTCTAATTCTTTACGCACTTCCTGAATGATGCTGCTGTCATCATAGTCACCAAGAACATCTCTGGGCACGAAACCAAGAAATGGTATTTCTTCCATGAACAAAGGGTCATCCTTTTCGTTACTCTTTGTTTCATTGAAGGACAGTTCACATGTGGGCATGTTGTTCTGGCTGCTGAGAATATAAATGCATCGTTAGTTCAAAAATCAAGTCATGTTTTGGTTCCAGTACTTTAATGAAGTGGACACTTCATTTCCTTTCATCTTCATTTCCATTCTCTTCCTTTCACATATGTATCAGATGTAGAACTGCCAAATGTATTTACTTGATTGTTTTAAATGTCTGCTATAAATCAGTTCAAGAAACCTGAAGAGATCCAGCCTAATTCTGAGCAAAAAATTGCAGAACAATTGCAAAACATGGTAAGGATAGTGGGTGTGAAAGGGGTCTCTTGGTTCAGTTTAGATTTCTACTATCACAGCAACCACATCATAGGCTACTTTAACAACTATTTTGTCCTGTAATTAGTATTTTAACTCAAGAAACAAACATTTGAAGTGTCCATATTTTTTCCCTCAAAAGTGTCAAACATGTTTGGAAAGTTGTATTGAGCTGATTTTGCTTATAAATGGAGGTCACTCCAATAGCTGTAAGATTTTTTATTTTTGTTTTGAATGGGAGGACTAGTGAGTTGCAAACAGGGGAATTTACTCTATATGAAAGGAAAGGTCCTCCTTTGACTTGTGAAGAATAAACTACCTACTGGCTGGAGGAGGAAATAGAACTCTAGTTCTGTTTTGATCATTTGGATCTGCATTTGATCAAATGCAGATAGCCTCAACATGTTTAGCATACTGGGTTAGTAATGATGGAGGGATGGTACATATCAAGCTGAGTTATTTTTGCAAGACTGCCAAACTGGAATATGCAACTTGAATAATTTTCTGTATATTCACAGGGGAAAAAGTAAACTTTTGTCTTCAGTCAGGTGCCATGCATAGCAGTATACAGCTATTAGTTTATCCAAAAAAGCATTAGAATTGCCTCACTTATTTTTGGATAAACTGACAAAGCATGCAACAGAGAAGACAAATCATCCTACTAATAGTTTAACAGCCATACCCTATTTACTTACTTCTGTTTGATGTATCCCCATGTGGTTTAAAAAGCCATAAAATGTATGACAGGTGGGAGGTATGTTTGTGCTTTTTGAGGTCAACAGGATTGAACTAATTTATCATAGAAGTCAGTGCTGAAGTGCATCAAATATACCTGTAACAAAAGCAGTGAGCTGTTCCTTCAGGTGAGATCATGATTATAAATGCTGGTGTACAGGACCAAATGTAATAGAAAACCTTCTGCAAAAATGGTTGTTTCTACTTCAGGTCTAATTTTATGCTTACATCTAGCTTCTCCCAAGCTGCTTTGGGAGAACTAATATGAAATTACCCCATACAATATTGTGTATCTTTAAACTAGTGTTCAATGGCTGAAATGTTTGTACTTGAATGACAGAAGAGTAAGAGACAGTGAGAACTGCTACAAGTTTAGCCTCAATGTGACTATGGCCTTTTGTTGGTCCTTTTCAGGGAGAATGAGGGGAAGAGGTCTACTCAGTACTGTGCATCCTGTTCTTGCAAGAAAATGCCAGCTGGAGAAAATGGAGGCATCTGTGCTCAGCTAGGCAGTGCACAGTGGGAAATAAGGAAAGATGCTTGCCAGTTTCCTGCTGCCAGAAATGACTGTTTTTAGAACAGGCTAGAGGCTTGGGTGGGGAGGGGGGCTCCCAGCTGGAGGTGTGGAGCCTCTGGCCCTGGCTGTTTCACCCTCGTCTGACATGATACAGCACCATCATAATGTCAATCACAGTTTGATTTCTAAATGAATGAATGCCTCTGACAAGGAGACTGAAGCATACTGTGCAATCAAAGGGGAGTTTTTAAACAATAAAATGTTACTGTTCCAGAAATAACCTTGGTATTTCCTCAGTTGGCAGCCCAGTACCTACTGATTCATAGTCTACAGAATCACCACTAATAATTTCCTGACCAGCTTTGAATCCTAACAGCTGATGGGAGAATACAAAAGGTATTAGATGTTTTAAGCCAGCCCTGACTCTATCCAAGTCACTACTAAGGAAAGCAATCGATAGTCTGCAAAAGGATTCTGGTGCAATCAGCAGTCTGCACATACCTATTCATGGATTCGCAGAAGTTTAGGGCTGGAAAGGACCTTGTGATCATCGGGTCC